AGCCCAAAGCCGGCCCTTTATGGGGGTCCTGGATCAAGGACTTTGAACTCCCTGCTGTGCTCTCCGTGAGGCCCCCTCTAGAGCTGAGCTCTGCGGGGAGGCAGGGCCAGTTCCACAAGAGGAGGAGCTCTGATGCCACGGACCACTGCCCCAGGTCACGCTGCACAGGCCGCCATGGGGGCCGTTGGGGGCTGGGGAGCCACCGATCCTCGTTCTGAATGGAAGCACGAACCAGAGCCGCCGCACCTTCTTTCCCATCCCCAGATTTGATGGTTTACTGTTCAACCCTGGTTAAAATTGAGAACGCCCCTCTCGTGATGGAAGGCGCCGGACTCTGGGAGGGCTGTGTTTGATGCTTTGGGACAGATGGACATTTCCAGATGGCTTGTGGCTCTCCCGGCTTCCTGACTGGGACTGCTGCCACGTCTCAGGGTGGGCGGGTGGGGCTTCCGGCTTCACAAGGCTCCGGGAATCAGATAATTGGCCGCCCCCGCCCCATATGGCTGATTAGTCATGGGGACCATGAGGACGACGAGGAGGAGCTCGAGTGTGGCTACAGAAATGGGAAGGGGCCTACGTGGGCTCCACCCCCAGGGCCGGTTTCAGGACTAGAGCACATATATGGGGCTCCTGTCTCCCCTTCCACGTCCACCGTCCATCCATACCTAGGCCACCTCTGTGTCAAGGTGAGTGACAGCCAGCTACTTAACCTTCCTATCCCAGGGCTGTAAGACAAGACAGATGTGTTTCCTGCCCAGGTCACGGTCCGACACCCCCGGGGGCGGGTCAGCGGGGCTGCGAGGCGGCGACCAGCCCCTCTTGTCCTCCTCCTTCTCCATGCACTCCTCCTCAAGCGCTTCTCCCGCTGGATTTATTGCTAATGGACGTGCACACGTCTCTGCCTTGATCGTCGTGGGGAGGCCTGCTTGGGCTTTCAGGCTTGAACACAAAGATCGTGGTGTACCAGGCAGGGCCGCTCTGTCCCTAACATGGTCCACTGGTCTTATCCTCAGGGGCTTTAACAAAATCCCATCTCTCACTGTTTGGGGTCTAGAAATGCTCAGCATTTTCCAACTCTGCAAGACCTCACCTTCCTGGGATTCCTTCCATGGATCCCGCCTGCAAACAGCTATGTTCCTCCGCAGGCCGCTCTTTCCCTCGAGAGGCCTATTCAGCCCACAGATGGGACACACGCACGACCGTCGTTCTGGTTCTCGAGCTCTTCCCTCGGAGCCTCTGGAGCTGCTTCCACATTCCAGGAGGCAAGACTTCGAGGGGACCGCACCCAGACCACACGCCCTCCCTGGTTCCTTTGAAGTGCAACACTCAGGGCCTAAGGCACAGGTGTGGCCTGACCTGTGCAGACGAGAGTGCGGTGTCTCCTCCTCAATTCTAGACATTGCGCCTTCGTTAATGCAGCCTACGACATAATCCCCTTCCGATGAGCATGTCCTGCTTCGCCTGACCTGCCTGAGCCTGAAATCCACCAGATGACCCTTTACAAGTCCTTTTCTTGTAAAATGCCCTAAGGTTTTGGAGGCTTAGAAGAACTTGTGAACGTGGGCGCAGAGGAAGGAGGGATTGGAGCAAGTGGGTTTGGCGAGCTGGGGTGGGAGCACAGTACTGTTTGGGGCCCCTCACAGCCCCCAGAGCTCAGCTTTATTCCGGGGAGTGGGGGATGTTCCTCAGGCCAGGAGAGAGCAAGGGGGGAAGGAGGCTCTCCCTGGTGGATTCTGAGACCCCAGGCAGCCTGGCTTCTGCTCTGCCCCTCAGAGCACCCCCAGGCAAGTGTGGGCAGCCAGAGATGCAGACAGAAGTGGCATCGACCTCCAATCCCGGGACGCCCACAGCAGAGCCCCCGACACCCCCAGCAGAACAGCCATGACCAGCCCACGGCCAGGGGGCAGGGGGCATAGAGAAGCTGCGGATGGGGGGCCGGGGCTGCCGCAGCTTACAACAGTGACCGAGAAGCCAAGGGGCTCCTCCTCCCAGGTGAGACTGCAGAGCAGAAGCTGAGGCCGGACCTGAGCCCCGCGGCCAGGCTGGGGAGGGCGGCTCCTTAGAACTGGGAGGGGGGTGCAGGGGGAGGCGGGCAATGCCCACACCACGATTACTGACCCCTCAGTCTATCACAGACCCCAAGCTTTGTGCCCACCGTCCTTACTCCAGAGTCCTCAGAGCCACCCTGTTCCCCCCCAGGCACATGAGAAAGAACGCAGAGAGGTCGAGTGACCGGCCCAAGGTCACACCGCCCACACCTGGCAAAGCCCAGGCAGACCCAGGTCTGTGGACGCAAAGCCGGGGCATTTCCCCCGTGAAACAAAGACTTGCTTCTTCTTGAGGGAGGCAGCTCCACTCTGGGACCCTGACCTTGGGAGTCCCACACCCCAGGGCTCAGACAGCGCTGGGTGGCCAACGTGGGCTCCCAAGCACATACTGATGGCCGACCAGGGCAGGGAGCCCCCAGAGCCCCAGGCCGGGCTCCCAGCATGTGCTGGACTGGAAGGCAAGGCACGGGTGGGGACCAGACCATAGCAAGAATTGAGCCCAAGGCTCCGAGAGCCACTGGGTCAGGGGATGGAGGGCTCCTGAAGGCTCCATGGGCCCACCCATGCTGGCTGGGAGAAAGGGCCTTCGTGCCACGAGGGCCAGCACAGGGCAGACGAAACCAGAAATCAGACTGAAGCCAGAAGAAGTTCAAGAGTGAGAGAGAGGACCCGTGGGGGGCGGGGACGGGGCGTCGAGGAGGGAAACTCAAGGTCAGGATGCCCGTGGCTAAGCGCACACGTTCGGTACTGTTCCCTCCCGGGGCCGTGGACGCGCAGGACAGCCCCCCTCCTCCTGGACTGGACCACTGCCCTCCCGCTGCAGCTGGGACTCCCGGGTGCACCGTCCTGACCTTGCAGGGCGGCCTCATTGCTCCCCGAGTCTTCAGGGGTCACTCCCACCAAAGCGAGGCTTCCCAGGCAGGACCCCGTGCCCTCCCGCGACCACAGAGGTCCCACCACAGTTGAGAATCTAAGGGGCGTGTGCATAGACCCCACAGGCCCTGCCCCCTCTGCCACACCGCAGACCTGAACCCTCGGAGGAGCAGCAAGGGAGGGCAGGGGACAGCCCAGCCCAGGGGACACGTGTGGCCTGGGCCCAGGCTCCAAGCTGGCCTCAGCCCCCTGGTCCTGGGAGGCAGCTGGCCTCCCTGCAGCAGCTCTGGTGACCTAGAGGAGCCAGGCCTCATGGGGGGCCGGAGGGGGTTGCAGGCACCTGCTGCTGCCAGGGGCCCCCCCAGGGCCAGCTGGTCCTACGGTGGGCTGGGCGGAATAGCCCTTCACAGGCCCACATGCTGCTTACACCTTCCCAAGCCCACCCCCATCCCCGGCCCGAGCAACCACACACGTCTGCAATGCACATGTGTATATAATGCAAATAAATCTGCTATTCCATTAGGTTAATTACACGAGCCCTTTCCTCTCTCAAATATCTTTGCAATTTTATAAGTCCTTTTAAAAAAGTCTTATCAAGTCCTAGAAGCAAGAGAGCATTTATAAATGAAGTCCAGCAAGGCTCAAATTAAATATTTACAAAAATTATTATTTTTACCTCTTAACCTATCTCTCAATTAAACGGATTTTTAGAACAAAACTTAAAAAGAATTTCTTGCTTGCCAGCTCAAAAGGTTTCTGCGTTTAACAGTCTTACTTTTGCCTTGCACGATAATGACGTGGCACTCGAGAGGTTAAGTGCTTTCTCGAGGTTTAGTTGTCTCTTTGCAATCATGGCTTCCGGAAGGAAGGTCATTCCCAGGAGGACCCGGGGTCCAGGGCTGCGAGGTCGAGACACGATGAGATCCTGTGCTCCCGGGGCGGCAGGTGCCCACGTGGCCACTGTCCCACGCCCAGGGCAGGGTTGGGGCACGGCCGTTCCTCCCTGGGGTCGGGGCTGAGGGTGGGGTCCTGCATGGCTCCCCTCAGAGCAGGGGCGGCTCAGGGAGCCCGAGGCCAAGCAGAGGCTCGTGATCCTCAGGACACGGCTCCCTCCAGGAAAGGAGAGAAAACCTCGCGCGCGTTCCCAGAAGGATCTCGGACGCAGCACCACCCCACATGCTCCAAGCTCTGTGTGGTTGTTAGACCAGCTAAGCGCTCCCCCGAAGGGACCCTGGGGGCAAGGAAGGTGGGATCCCCCTTGGGCCCTCCCAGATTCTCTGCAAGGAGACCACAAAGCCTCACAGTGGTCACAAGGGGGCTAGGGGGACCTGAGGAGCAAAGAAGGGCCAAGTGCCAGCCATTGCGGGGACCCGCACCCAGCTGAGGATGGGGTCCCCTCAGGGCGTGTGGGGTGGCGGGGTGGGGAGAGAGGGCTGGGTAGCTTGCTCGGCAGACACAGGCTCCCGGGCTAATGCCTCTTAGGTCTCTCAGATGGCCTGCCCGCCCACGTGGCACCTCTCCCCGCCCAGGTGCCTGCTGGCCAGGTGTGGGGCAGCCTGGCGCTGGACCCTCCGGGTGGAGCGCCCCCCCCCAAGCAGCTCAGAGCACCCACACGTGCTGCCTTACTCCCCCTCAGGCTTGTTCCTGCTCAGGGCCCCCCAGGCCTATGGTCAGCCTTGCCCCACGTCGGAGGGTGTCTCAGTAAGAACCAGGGAAGCCGGGAGTGGGTCGGTGAGGCTGAGTGGGGAGAGCTGGGCCCAGGGCTGGGGACTGGGACAGGCCAGGTCACCTCTGAGCCCGGGTCAGCAGACACTGGCTCATGGGCTCCACAGGGAAGATTTTAGGGCTTGTGGTCGTGGGCACATGGTCTGTGTCTCCGCCACTCTGCTCTGTCTGCAGAATAAAGGCCACGGGACCACCGACCGTGGCCATCGAGCACAGAGCAGCGGGGCACGGCCACAGGCCCCGTGTGCCGACTCCTGACCTGAAACCCCCCAGAAACACCCTCAGCGCCCACGGTGGGGCGCGAACAGACGAACAGAGGCGGCGTGACCAGCGGTCGGGGAAAGGCAAGCGGCAGGGGCCCATGTGTGCCGAGCGTGGAAGCAAATGTCTTTATTGAGAAAATGCGTGGCTGCCAAGATCCGGGGTCCCTGCTCTCACCCTCCCAGATGGGAGACAGGGCGTTAGTGCGGGTGAGAGGCACAAAGCAGAGAGGGTCCCAGAGGGAAAGGGGGAGGGCCCCAAGCCCTTGCTCCCTCCCCTGGGAGCGACCAGACCAGCCCTCGCTGCGGCCACTGTGTGCGTGGACCGCCCTGCGCTAGACGGGCCGCACCTTCGTCTCTGACACCTTGTAGCTGTGGTTGTAGCCTTTCCCCGACTTCCAGTTGATGCCGTTTGCAAAGGTCTCGTGAGACCCCCAGGGGTAGAGACCGTTGAGGTTTGACAGGTGACACTGATAATACCACCAGGCCCCACTGTAGCGCTCAGCACACTTTTCTGGAATGGAGTCATTGTCCTGGTCTTTGGCGGAGAAGGCGAGGTGGTTGTGGTTTGACAGGGAATCCCCTGCACAGAGGGAGAGTGGGCCGTTTCACCTGGATCTAGGTCTAGGCAGGAACCGTCCTGTCCAGGGGTGTAAGACGTGCACTGCACAACTCTCGGGGGTGCCGGTGAACTCTTGCTCTCTGGTACGGTGGCCTTGGCATCCGTCATCCCCTCTGTCCCTGCCAGCTGGCAGGCACCCTGTCTTGGAGGGAGGCCACTCGTGGCCCTGGACTCCTAGGTTGCTCAGCAGAGAGCACCAGCCACCATGAAGCAGGAGCTCAGCTCCACAGAAATGGTCCACGTTATCCCCCTGCCCCTGTTGGCATCAATAATGGCGGTAAATCAGAACACCAGTTCTCCTGGACTTTGTACTGAATGGGTCCCGTGGCCCTCGTCTGCACCGTGAGGCGTGGGTGACATTTCCTTCACGTATGGATGGATGGAGAGCCACGTCGGGCTGCCGCCGCCTCTCTGCCCACAGACGAGGCAGAGCCAGGACGGGAAGCAGGTCCCCTCCGCGCCGCAGCCCAGGCCCCTCGGCCCAGGGCGGACACTCACCGGCACTGCCCCCAGCGAAGGCCCCCAGGACCAGCCTGTACTTCTCGGCCTCGCCCGCCATCTTGAACGAGCTGTACTTGGCAAATTGGCGGTTACCCTCGAAGTCCACAAGGTCTACACGGAGCTCGTTGGTTCCTGGGGCAGAAAGGCTGTGAGGTCCCAGCAGAGGGACCCTCTGTCTCCAGGGCAGAGAGGTGGGAATTGAGGAGAGTGGGTAGGGGCTGTCTGAACTTGGCAGGCAGGGAAGGGCCACACGATCGTAGAATAAGTCCCTGGTTATATGACTTGCAACCCACTTCCCAAGAGCCCTTCTACTGCACCTGAAACCCCCTCCTCCTGTTCGTCCGCTGGAAACCGACGCTACTCTCCATCAACAATGTGCATTTTCCCGCCGGCTGTGGCCTCACTCGCAGACCCATGCCCTAACGGCTTTGGCGTCCCTCCATGTGGGAAGGTCGGCTACTTGCTGGAGCAGGTGTTTCAGGAGTCCGCCAAGGCGTATTGGGCAGGGAGGGGAGACGGCCCACCTGGCGGCCTCCCCAGGACAGCGACAAGTGACGCTCTGGGCAGACGAGCCCGAGGGTAAAGGCCCTGCCCTCATCCAGACCGCGCAGGCTGGGGTGCTGGGCGGGGACACAGGACCAGGAGGAGAGAGCCTCTCTCTTCCCCGAATAGGCACCTCCAGGGGCAGAGAAATGGTGGGAGGTGGGAGGATTGGGGCTGGACGTGGAGCCCACCCCTGAGGCTTCTGGTCCCTCCCGTCTCAGAATCTAAGATACCAGAGGCGCCATGCTTGCCAGAGTCCTTCACCTTGGTCCTTACGTGCTCCGACCTGATGTGTGAGACCACGACAGGGCTCCCACGCATGGGGGGGCACAGAACTAAGGGGTCCTGCTCAGATGCACCCCAGCGGGAGGAGGGGCGTGTTCCTCAGCCCCGCGAGGCCAGGGCTCAGGTCCGGGGCAGGTGGGGGTCAGGGACCTACCCTGGGCCGTCAGGGCATGATGTTGTCATTCCCCAGCCAGAACTCCCCCAGCTGACTGCTGAAGCCCTTCTTGTATGCGGCCCAGTCTCGAAAGAAATCCACGGAGCCGTCGCTCCTTCGCTGGAAAACCTGTGGAAGGCGAGTGGGCTCGGGGGCCCGGGCCCTGCTGGGGTCCACGGCTAAGGGGCCCCACCACCTTAGGGGAGGCATTGTAGCTCAGGGAGCATCCCGGCCGAGAGCCCGGCATGGCTGGGAGGCTCATCTCAGACCCCAGAGGTGGACAGGGCCCACAGCTAAGGGAGGGGGAAACGGAGGAACAGAGAGGGTGGGTGACCACAGCTGGAGGTGTGGGCTCCTTCCGGGCCTCACCCCAAAGTCTGCACTCGCTCCCATAGGGTTTGCCCCCCACCAAGGTGTCTGGTTCACCCCGGCCTGGGCCAGAGGGTCGGGTCGGCCTCACAGGGGGATATGGACAGTTTGACAAAGGCCACACGAGAGTGTCCTCCCTCGGGCGGCCGAGCTGCTCTGGGGGATCCCCAGGCAGAGCCCGCCCTCCCCCGTGCACCGCTGGGCGGTCTCCGGTTCCGACACTCACGGTCCAGCTCCCGCGTCCGTTTCCATGTCACACAGCAGGCTCAGGGGCCTGCAGTCGGGCAGGTAGACGGTGTACCAGCCGCTCAGAAAGTGCCCCCTTGTGAGCAGCTCCTTGCAGGTCCGAGGTGCTGGGGACGGACCCGGAGGCTGATGTCAGGCAGGGAGCCCTGGGCGGGGCGGGGATGCGGGGCGTCTACACGGGTGGAGGGGCACCCTGGGCCTGGACAGGCCCCGAGCCCCGGGTCGCCCGGCCGTGATGGCCATCCCCCCTCCCAGGGCTGCCCCACCGTAGTCCCCGGACCCCTGGCCTTCAGGGGACATTTGAGCTTCTTGAGAACATTGCCAGGTGCTAGCTGCCCATTGCTGAGTAGCCGAGGGAGGGAAACGTGTGTAAGAGTGTGTGGTCCTTGGATTCCGGAAGCCGGGGCAATGTGGGGCTGGCCTCTGGTCCGCGGGAAGCGTGGGGAGGTCGGTGGCATGGTCAGCTACCTGTCACAGGAGTGATGCGCAGCCTCTCCTGTTCGTGGGGAGAGGACGCACGCATCAGGGTCTGGAAACGGGCGCCCCCGTCCCCTCCAGCCGCAGTGCTCAGCGGCCGGCATACAGCACGCAAATAGGATCGGGATCTGCCCGGGGCAGACCGTCCAGTCCCAGGGAGGGCTCCAGCCTGCCCGTCCCCGGGCGCGGGTCTGCTGGGCCCCCTGTGTCCAGCTCAGGGTCACTGCGTGCACCCCGTGCCGGCCATCTCCTGAGGGCCCCTGGGCCTCAGTGGCGCGGTATGGACTCGTCCTGGTCTCTCTGGTTGGTGTCAGCTCCACCCGCTGTCCCTCCGAGCCTCTGCTTGGGGAGAGCACTGGGGGCGTTGGGCATTCGGGTCTGCGCCCCACTCCTGCACTCTTGTACGTGCACGGAGCTCCTGCCTGTGTTTAGAGTTTGTGAGTTGCCTTCTCTGACGCTTACACTTTGATGTCGAAGTGAGAATGGATAGGAGGGAAAGTCCGTGAAGCGTCCCCATTCGGCAGTAATGTTGTCTTGCCATCCCTTGGGCCCTCACCACCCGGGCCATCAAACCGAGCCCTGAGCCAGACCTTGCACGCCTCCCACCGTTTCCCTGCCAGAAGAGGGACTTGGGTCTGAGACCCTCCCCAGGGGAGGCTGCCAGGCTGACTGCGGCTCTGGGACCCCCACAGGGACAAAGCCTGCCGAGGCGCCCCCAGGACCGCGAGCCGGGCTCACCTTTCTCCCCACGTACTCCTTTCTCCCCTCGGTCTCCTGGAGAAGAGACAGGAGGATGGGCCCCCCGATGCAGGGAAGTGTGGTCAGTGAGAGGCCGCGTGAGCACTCTGGACACCACCGAGCTGCTCTGCCCTCGGGGACCAGCAGGAAGGACAGCGGGGGCCGAGCCCCAGGCCTCCTGCTCTGGGCAGGACACCCTCGTTGCTCTGCTGGGTCTCCAAGGATTCAAAGGCCAGGGTCTGCAAGCAGGGGAGGGGACCCCGAGGCCTGGGATCCTGCCCCCGGGAGGGACAGGTCACTGTGGACCAAGTTCCCTGGATCAGGACTCTGGTCATGCACTAGCTCAAGGCTCCTTGGGAATGGAAATATGTCCCCACCCTCCCTGTCCCTCTGTCTGCCTCCCTGTCCCACCCTGTCTCTCTCTCTCTCTGTCCTCCTCCCTGTGTCCCTGTCTCCCCGTCTCCCTGAATCTCTGTCTGTGTTCCTCTCTCACTTCTCTATGGGCAGAGCCCGGGGTCCCCCGAGGGGTCCTCGCTCTTCCTCACGTTGTTACCTTTGGGTCCCGTTGGTCCTGCCTTCCCAGGGACTCCAGGGGAACCAGGTGCTCCTACAAATTCCAAGGACAAGGGCATCATGGGCAAAGGTGCGGCCGCCACAATTCCACGTGAGCTCTCTGCCCCAAGTACTGAGGTCTGCCCAGGGCCTCCTCTCCACAGAACCGCTGCCCCAAGGTGGACGGAGCAGCCCCGGGCACAAGGGTGGGGAGCAGGCCGTCACCGGGAGCCCGGGCCCCAGGGCCGCTGTGGCTTCCTGCCCCTGCTGAGCTCTGCGTGGTGGGCCCAGGCCCATGCTGCCCTCACCGAGCCCAGCCATCCAGTCAGGGGCCCGGATCTCGGGGCACATCCTGGGAGACCCTGACCCCCCGGTCCCCGCAGGACCCGGCCAGGCTCTCCTGCAGTGGGTCCCGGGCAGGGCGAGCCAGACTGGCCCCGTGCCCAGCCCCCGGATCGGGTCATCCCGAGCCCCTCCACGTAGGGTCTGACTCCACGCAGAGAGGAGGCATGCGGTTCTGAAGCTGGCTGTGCACAGGGCCCGAGCTGCAGCCGAGGGGTGCGGGGGACGCCCAACCCTGGGTCTAGCAGGAGAAGGGCAGGCCCCCTGCCACCCCACCCCTGGCCCACTGCACCTACCTCTCTCTCCATTGACGCCAGCGTCTCCCTTGGGCCCCGCGGCCCCGGGCAGCCCCGGGCAGCCTCGGAGGATGCTGAGCTTGTCGGAGCCCTCCAGCCCCACCACCTGCACCTCTGCAGAGACACGAAGTGACAGTCGGTCCTTCCACTTGGGCCTGACGGCTCAGCAGATCCCACAGACGAGCCGGCTGACCCGAGGCTTCTGCCTGCGTGGTGACCTCGGGCCGGGGCAGACCGCTGGGGACGCCTGGACGGTCTGCCTGCAGGTGGGTTTTTTGCCTCTGGTGTAGATAGACTTGCTCTATCCCCCCTCTGCCCTGCTGTGGGTGCTGGTCAGGCCGGAGGGAATGGCCTTGGAGTCCTCCCTGCCTGAGGGAGCCCAGCTCCTCAGTGCTGTGTGTCCCGGGACAAGTCACTCAAGCCCTCTGGGCTTGTGTCCTCTGAGCTCCAAGAGGATAGGAAGAGGTCTATTATTAGATGAGGCACATGTTTATAATCTAAGCAGGGTCCTTGGCATTTACAAAGAGCTTCCTGAACACTGGGCACTTTCAATAAATAATAACGATAAATATTGATAAGAAACTTGGGGAATTGGGGTCAACATGGAAATTTCACCCCAGACCTCGGGCATGTGCTCACGGAGTTTCTGAGCCAGAAAGGGTCCCTGTGGGTCCCTGGAGAGGGACGTGTTGGCTTCAAGGACACAAGGGGCCACAGACCCGGGAGAGGAGGGTTATTTACTTCGTGGAGTTTAATTGTGTCGATATAAAACTAAAATATCCTCGGGCGAGGCCTGAGGTCCGGGGATGCCAGGGGGCCGCCTGGACACCACAGGCTCCTGCAGGGGACAGGGCTGTGCCACCATCTGGGGTCTCTTATGTCCTTACCTCACTGTCAGAACAATGGAGACTTCATTTTTGAAATTCGCTTAATTTTTACTCATTAAAAAAGAACGCTTGGCAATTTTAGACACGTTAAGAAACAAGACGTGCTTAGGGAAACAAATTAACTGTGCCATGATGGGGTCCCGTGTGCGTGTCGGGCCTCACGCGCCGCAGACCTCTCGGGATCCTCAGTTAAGTCGTGTTCGCCGCCCCGCCCAACCCTGGCTAGCCGAGGCAAGTTGTGGCCCTCGGACCCCGGTAGCACACCTGTGCCTGTCCCACCCGGTCCGGAACCTCCCACAGGTCAGCGCAGGTGGAAGGGCTCATGAGAGCCGCCAGCCAGGGAAGGGCGTTCCGGAGCCTGCCCTGATCTGCCGCCTCAGGGACACCGCGGGGCTCACAGGGTGAGGTCCCAGCGCCGGTGCCAAGGGCATGCCATCTGACCCGGGCGGCATCCCGCCCTCTGCCTTTGCACACAACCCACGGGGTGGGACCTGAGGATCACCCCCTTCCTCCTGGACCCTGGTGATCGCCCCCTTCCTCCTGGACCCTGGTGATCGCCCCCCGGCTCGTGGACCCTGGTGATCGCCCCCGGCTCCTGGACCCTGGTGATCGCCCCCCGGCTCGTGGACACTGGTGATCGCCCCCCGGCTTGTGGACCCTGGTGATCGCCCGCCAGCTCCTGGACCCTGGTGATCGCCCCCTTCCTCCTGGACCCTGGTGATCGCCCCCCGGCTCGTGGACCCTGGTGATCGCCCCCGGCTCCTAGACCCTGGTGATCGCCCCCTGGCTCGTGGACACTGGTGATCGCCCCCCGGCTTGTGGACCCTGGTGATCGCCCGCCAGCTCCTGGACCCTGGTGATCGCCCCCCCGCTCGTGGACCCTGGTGATCGCCCCCGGCTCCTGGACCCTGGTGATCGCCCGCCAGCTCCTGGACCCTGGTGATCGCCTGCCAGCTCCTGGACCCTGGTGATCACCCCCCGGCTCGTGGACCCTGGTGATCGCCCCCGGCTCCTGGACCCTGGTGATCGCCCGCCAGCTCCTGGACCCTGGTGATCGCCTGCCAGCTCCTGGACCCTGGTGATCATCCCCTGGCTCCTGGACCCTGGTGATCGCCCGCCAGCTCCTGGACCCTGGTGATCGCCCCCCGGCTCATGGACCCTGGTGATCGCCCCCGGCTCGTGGACCCTGGGGCCCGGAGAAGCAGGATGCCTGTCCAGGGTCCACTGCCAATGGCACAGGCCAGGGTTCGGGCCAGCGGGTTCTGACTTCCGAGCAGCGCCCATCACCTCTGGGTGGGGCTGCCTCTCCTTCTTTGCCCTCCAGCCTCCTCTTCTGGAAAATGACACTTAATGTGTGCTTTCACAAGGACTATGCAGGAACGTTCGTGGCGGGCCGAGCGCGAGGCTGGCATGCAAGTGGAGGCTGCCGGCTTGCCGAGCATCGGATCCATGTGCGGGCGGCTCACCCGGCGTCTGACTCACCTGGACAGCTGTCGGCGACAGCGGCCCAGGCCCCAGTGCACGAGAGCATGATGGCGAGCGTGACGGCGGGCCCGGTGGCCGCGGCAGCTCTGCCCCGCTCCATGGCTCTGGTCTGCGCGGCTGCAGGAGCGCCCTGCCTTCTGTTGGCCCGGCCGCCCACCTTGACCTCTGGCTTGCTTTCTCACGCCAGTGGCCACTTCCTCCTGAGGCGCCAGCCGGAGGCGACACAGCCCCACACCCTACTTAACGAGCGTCCGGTGTAATGGGCCTTGCTTCCCCTGGGCAGGGACACTGTCCCCAGGAGAAGGCCCCCGGGCCGTGTGCGGGGAAGGGCCAGCCTGCCTGTTTGTGTCTAAGGAACGTCCTCTTGCGGGTTCGCCAGGGAGACGCGCAGGGAAACGGGTGTCTTAGCTGCCCCGGGTGGCTTAGCCTGCGGGCCCAGGTGCCATCGTACTAGGGGCAGGAGAGGGGCAGGCCCTTGGGGAGAGGACCTGGCTTCAGGAGAGGGGACCCGGCTTCGGAGGAACCTCAAAGGTCTGGTGGTCTGGGATCGCTGTCTGTGTGTGGGGTCACCCCTGGCCTCCCGGCTGGCTGGCAGAACTCCCGGAGGGGTGGCGTCCAGGCTCCTGGGGAGGACCTGCCTTGAGGTGGGTGAGGCCGTTCAGGGAAAGCCTCTCCCTGCATATCCTCTTTTTCAAGGGCCCTCAAGCTCTGAATAAGCCACAGGCCAGCGTGGCCTATCTTGGGGTGGCGTGTCCTGCTACCATCAACTCGGACTGGTCCGCAGCGGGGAGAGGCCACACCCCAGTGGCGGGGAGAGGCGCGCTCCCTGGGGACCCACGGAACGGGACGTCCCTCGGGGGCCTGCTCTCGAAGTTCGGGGCAGGACAGACGCAGACAGCCAGGCCGTTGGCTCCACGAGCAGGAACTGTCCTCCCGCAGTGTGTAGACAGGTCGAGGGACCGAAATGCGTCGAGCTGATATTGTAGCATAAGGCACTCCACGGCAACTTGGTGTTTTGAGTGTTGGCAACATTGAAGAGAATCTGGCCTGTTAGCCTAACAGCCTGCTAATCTCACTGAAAATGTGACCTTGAGTCTCGGACCTGTTGGTGATTTGAGGAGGAAATAGTCCTGTGTATTTAGCTTTGGAACAGGTAAGGGACCCCTACGTTCCGCACATTCACCTATTTGCATGATCAGACTTCTAAAAATTAGCTGATGCCCCGAAGCTTCCGTTAATGGCAGACAATTAAATGCTAAAACACAAATAGGGATACATTCATTTTGCGAACACGCTAATGATGATTTCAGCCGAGATTTCTTAAGTCAGCCGATGGAACAAGGATTACTCCTAGGCCCCTTAAAGAGAGTCATGAAAACATACCTCTTATATACAGAGTAAATCAAACTTAAAAGCTTCAGGAAATCCTTGGACTTCTGAAGTTACAATTGTAACATACTGAACAAATCCCTTGTAAAGACAGTAGCCAGAGGAGTGGTCATCTCTGTGCAAGAGGCCAAAGAGGACCCAGCCGTGAAACACCACAGAGGGGACTTAAGTCCACAGGGCAAGGGTCAGGCCCAGGTTGCCGCTGCACCTTGGAGGGCGTCTCTGGTCATGGATGCGGGATCTGAGGCCCAGAGAAAGAAGGAGTTTGCCCTGGGGGCCACATAGCCTGTTACCCGAGCACCAGTATTAGAACCCGGCTCCCCAGAGTCCGTGGATGCCCGCGCCCCCACTCCTTCGCCTCCCTCTGTCCTCCACCCTCTGTCCAGTCTCCCGATGAGAGGCGTGCAAGTCTATGCTCACGCTCCAGGTCCAGGGCTCCATCAGCTTGCCGCCCGCCACTCATTGGAAGCCCCTGCGCAGGAACTAGACCGTCCCACCTCCCCTCTGGAGGCTCCTGCTGGAGCCAAAAGGATGCTCGATAGTAAGCGAAAGACCCATCTGGGCTTGAGGATCAAAGCTGAAGTCCTTTCATGGCTGCCTTGCCGTGGGCTCTCCTTGCTCCAGAATATTCCAGAAGTCTGTCACTGTTGGTGACATTTCTCGGGCCAGAGCATGGGGACGCGGCTTGGATCGGCCTCACAAGCAAGAGAGAGGAGGGATGTTTAGTGAGCACCTACTATGTGCCGGGCACTGGTCTGTGCCCTGGGACACCGGGGGAAGCACTCTTGGGAAGGCAGAACACAAACAAGCAGACCAACAAATAAACAATAATAATGTGCTAGGATATGATGCAATTAGAAAACCAATGTGTGCTGCGAAGGATGCGTACACAGAGTATCATCAACGGTGACTCAGCCAGAAACAGGAGAAACCTGAAATCTCTGTGGCTTCCCACCGAGCAGTGATGCCATCCCACTGTGGGGGATCCTGTCTGGGCGCCCCTCCTCCTCGCAGGGACTCCGGGACCCACATCTCCTCCACTGGCCGTCTTGGCCACCTTCCACGTGTGGACCCTCTCCGAAGGGTCATCTTCACTCCAGCCAAGCTCGGAGGACCCCGCAGGGGTGGCTTCAGACTGGGGGCACTTGCCTCCCTCCCTCCCTCCCTGTGTCCTCGGGCAGCCGGGTACTGCGGCCCCGTCCGAGCACCGGGAACGCTGAGGGAGGCAGCCTGGTTATGTGAAGTAGCGGGGGTGGGGGAGTGGGTGTTGCTGAGCTCACAGGACAAAGGCCTGACACTCCCCAGAGAGTGCATTTTCAAGGTCACTGTTTGCATCGTGATGCTTTTCCACTCATTCACTGACTTGCATCCTGATTGTCCCCTGGAGATGCAGTTTTCGTAAGCGGCGTATCACGGGATCCTGGTTTCTCCTCCGTGCCGCTCAGCGCAACCCTCGACGTGGTCGTGCTGTGTCTACCATCTTGCTCTTCACCTGCCACCCCATCGTTGTTCTCTCTTGCCCCGTCTCGTTGGGTTGACCTGGCTTTCTCGGTGTTTCACACTCCCTCTGCCTTGACTCTTTGGCTCTACCTCTTTGTGTGACATTCAGTGGTTGTGCGGGGAATCACGCAATGCAGCTCACATCATCACTGTCCCCCTTGGGTGACTGGCACGCCAGGTCACAATTCACGTATGAATGTCCCACAATCCTTTTCCTGTAGTTGTTATGGATTTTGCTGCTACATATGTTATGAGCCCCTGAAATGCATTTTGATTATTTGTATCTTAAAAATTCAATTGTCCTTTAACAACCTCTTTAAGGGGGAGGCGGGAAGTGTTTTATACATATTTACCATCTCTGCTGCTCTCCATTTCTTCCTCAGGATCTGCATTTCCACTTGGAATGATTTCCCATCTGCTGGAATAACTTCCTTCCTCGTTTCGGGGAATATGGGTCTGCAGGCAACACATTTCCTCTGCTTTCGATTGTCTGGAAGTATCCTCACTTCACCTTCACTTATGAATCCTAGTTTTGTGAGAATTGTATTCTAAGTGAAGAATTTCTGCCTCTCAGCACCTCTGGACATCCTTCTGCTGCCCTTTGCCCTCTGCCCTCTGCCCTCTGCCACCAGGAGAAGTCCCCCACACCCACCACCACCCCCATTCTGGTCTGGCCCCCACCGTGTCCCTGCTGCCTGCTTCTCCTGTCTCTCATCCCCTGCAGTTTCTAGCAGCCTGTCTGGGGGTGATTTTCCTTCTATTGCCCCTGCATGGGCTTCATGGAGTTTTGGGATCTGGAGATTCGTGCTATTGATTGAATGTAGACATTCGGGGCTAACATTTCTTCATATATTCTTCCACCTCATTCCCCCTCTCTGCTTTTGGCACCACCTATACCCTTCTTGCAAGGACGCTTGGTACCTTCCCGTTAATTAAGCTTTTGTTCACTTTTTACAAAGCCTTGTCTTCCACGCTTTGGTTTGGGTAAAGCGACAACACGTTTTCAGAGTTGTAGTGTCCATTCAATGATTTTTTGTATTTCAGAGATGACAATTTTTTATTTCTAATATTTACCGTTGGTTCATTTCTTAAAGTTTCCTTATCTCTTTTAAAATCCCTCACTTCTTCAGCCAAGACATCCATCTTTTCTTATATATTATATGACATTTATCTACTTATTCTGTATTCCGTGTCTGTAAATTCCAACATCTGAGACACCATTAAGTTGTTTCCATTGATTTTCCCTCTTGGTCATGGGTCACATTTTCCTTCTCCTGTGTGTCTAGTAAACCTTGATTCTATGCGAGACATTGTGGACACCATGTTGCAGAGACTCAGGACTCTGTGATGTTTCTCAAAAGAGACCTGAGCTCTGTGCTGGCACTCTGGGTCCTCTTCTGTCCCTAATCCTAGGGGATAACTTTGGTCCTGGGATATCATCCTTTTACTCAAGGGTTCGGTCTTGTGAGGTTTCATCAGAAAGCCTGACGTAGTCATCAGATCCATCGAAATGAATGCACTTGAACTCAAGGAGCCTCTGGGCACTGGGGAGTGCTGATGTCTCTGCTCAGCTTGGCCCATGGCTCCCCTCAGCAGTCAGCCACAGACAGGGAAGGCTGGCGTGACCAGCTTTGGGGGCTTCCCTGCATGGCTTCCTTGGTTTCAGGATTTCCCAGCTCATGCCTCCCCCCCCCGCCCCCCGTAGCCTAGATCTCTGATTCCAAGTCTCCAGCCTGTTAAGATAGCTTCCTTCTGCTGGAGCAAGCTCCCCCTGCCTCACAGGGTTCAGGGAGGGCCCTCAGGAGAAAGTTGGGGGATGGCACATTTATCCCAGATGGCTCCCTTCTCTATGGCTTACCCCACATCCAGTTTCTGCTTTGTGTCACTCAGCACTGCCTTTAAATCGTTTGTGTTTTCATAGATACTCTAGAACTTATTGCTTCTATTGGCAGGAGAGTTAATACAATGTAAGCTATCTTCCAATTTTTAGACACTAGGAGTCTGAAGCGTGAGTTTTCTAAGCTCTTTGTTCCTGAAGAGGTGGCATTTGAGAAGAGAACTGAAAGCCATGAGTCAGATACACAGCATTTCAGGTGGGAGTTGTACAGAAGGGGGAAGAGAACTCAGTGGATCTGAGAGAGCAAGGTGTCAGGATAAAGGAGCAGATCACCAGTCGGAGCCAGCGTAGGGGTGCTGGCTAATGTGGGAATA